TAACCCCTCCCCGACGGGGAAGAAGGAGTTGTGGAAGAGCCTCTGGAGGGCAGACGGAAAACTGCCGCCACGATTTTTACCGAACAGCGAAGACTGATAGGTTTCTAGTAGTGTCAAGAGAAAACATCATGACTCCTCAGGGGGGTCGGGGCGGGACCCGGGGCAGCTGCCGTGGAAGCCCAAATCGCTTCGGACATCCTCGCAAAATCGCTCTTGGCACTGCTAGAACTCCGCTCCCGGCGTACATTTTGGATGCCCGGAGCCAACTGTAAGCCACTTCGTGGTCTTCGAGTTCCCAGAACTCCATTCCCAGCGTACATCTTGGATGCCCGGAGCCAACTGTAGGCCACTTCGTGCTCTTCGAGTTCCCAGAACTCCATTCCCGGGCCACATTTTGGATGCCCGGAGCCAACTGTAGGCCACTTCGTGCTCTTCGAGTTCCCAGAACTCCATTCCCGGGCCACATTTTGAATGCCCGGAGCCAACTGTAGGCCACTTCGTGCTCTTCAAGTTCCCAGAACTCCATTCCTGGGCATGATTTTGAATGCCCGGAGCCAACTGTAGGCCACCTCGTGTTCTTCTAGTTCCCAGAACTCCATTCCTGGGCCACATTTTGAATGCTGAGGCAGGCTGATGCTGCGGCCGAGGCAGGCTGAGGCTGAGGCAGGCTGAGGCTGAGGCCGAGGCTGAAGGCAGACTGAGGCTGAGGCTGAAGCAGACTGAGGCTGAGGCTGAGGCAGGCTGAGGCTGAGGCTGAGGCAGGCTGATGCTGAGGCAGGCTGAGGCTGAGGCTGAGGCTGATGCAGGCTGAGGCTGAGGCAGGCTGAGGCTGAGGCTGAGGCTGAGGCTGAGCAGGCTGAGGCTGAGGCTGAGGCAGGCTGAGGCTGAGGCTGAGACTGCGACTGCCGTTGCCACTGCGACTGTCATCGCGAATGTGACTACGACTGCGAGAACAGCAGAATTCTACAACTGGATTCTCATCTGAATCTTAAGGGGAATGCTTCCAGATATGCTCCTACACATCGCTGTTAGGTTGCGTTGCCGGGATAATTTCTGGACCCGATAATACCCCAAGACGGGCCAAGAGGTCCAAAAGGACCTGGATCGCCGAACGGTCCTGCCAAGCTCAGCTCCAAGAGGGGCCCAAGAGCACCCCCAATAAGGGCCAAAGGTGCGGAAGTCAATGATGTTCCAGAGGCTTTGCAGTGCTTCGCAGGGCATCCATACTTGCTGAGCCTCCGACGAGCCCCAGGACGACCCAAAACGGCCCCACACAGGGCCCAAAGACGGCCCAAGAGGGCCAGGCGGCCCAAGAGGCGCCACAATCGGCCCAAAACGCCACAACATTTCCCCAAGAGGTGCCCGAAGACGAAAGCCCAATCCGATCCAAGATGCCCTCCAGGAGGTGCCAAAAAGGCCCCCAAATGCACACGGGAAGCCCCCGGGGGCCGCCAAAAGACCCCAAAACTGCCTCCAAGAGGCGCCAACACTGCTTCCGCGAGGCCCCCGAGAGGCCTCCCGCGACATCCCAACGATCATCATGGAGACCTAGCGTCCACCCCCAGCGTTTGCATAAAAGCGCCCACCCTCCAAGCGTTGGCAGAACATGGTGTCACAACTGCGTAATAAAGAAGGTAGCAACTGTGACGAAAGGGTGTACGGAAGCATCGGTAATATATATATATATATATATATATATATATATATATTGGGTCTACTCTGGTCCGCCTCCTCCTCCTCCTCCTCTTCCTCCTCCTCCGTCTCCTCCTCATACCCTTCGTCCTCGTCATGTCACTCTTCCCCCCATCCTCACTCTCATCCATATGACCATTCCCCTCCTCCTGCATCTGTGAACATCGTTCAACCGATCCCCATCCCCACTGGCTTGGCCTCGGTCTTACTGGGCAACCTATACCCCCCAGGAGGTGTGAATATATGCTGATCCCTTCGGGTTAAGCGGGACCCATGGCCCGATAGAGGGGGGGAAAAAAAACAGAAAGAAAATGAAAATTGTTCATTATTATCACCATTGCGTTGCTCACGACTGCAGATGGTTGTGCCTTTCGCCAACATATGAGGTTTCGAATTACGTGGACATCGAGCCGATGGCAAACAAGGGCAACCAAATTAGATTGGCGGAGGACCTAACCATATGCAGTTGTGAGTAACGCAGTTGTGGGTATCGGTTTCGGTGGAAATCCCTATGTGGTCACGAAGCGTGCGAGGGGTGTGCCGACATGGCCCTGGGTGCAGGGTACGCATGCGAACACTGCCGCTGGGGCATCCGGTGGGGCTCCCTATGGGGCCACGAGGCGTGCGAGGGGTGTGCCAGAATGAGTGGCGGGGACGCATGCGAACACCGCCACGGGGACCTCCAGTGGAGCTCCCTATGGGGCCACGAAGCGTGTGACGGGACTGTCGAAATCGGTGGCGGGGACGCATGCGAACACCGCCATTGGAGCCTTCGGTGGAACTCCCGATGGGGCCACGAAACGTGCTCGGGGAATGCAGGAATGGGTGGCGGGGACGAATGCGAACGCCGCCACTGAGGCCTTCGGTGGAGTTCCCTATGGGGCCACGAAGCGTGCGCGAGGGCATGCCGAAAAGGGAGTGGCGGGGACGCATGCGAACACCGAGGAGTTGTTTCACGTTCAGCCGCAGCGAGCAGGAGCTCACGAAGCAGAGTTCAGGGGCACACGTCAAGCGCAGGTCGGATTTCGCCTCGACGCGCGAGTCACACCTGACCTCCACGCTGTCGCAATGTCAGACGCTGCAGAACGGCGTCCAAATCGACTGCGCCAAGGGCGAGGGCGCTGGGCGCAAGGCACGTCAAAAAAACAATGGTGGCTGCACCTGCGGCCGCTGGGCCGCCGGCGTACCTGCGGAAGGCGCCCAGGAAATCTGACAACAGAGTGGAAAACTCCAGGACTGAGGCGGAGCAGCTCGCGACAGAGCTGGGCTGCGCCTGGCCTCCCGCCAGGGCGCGGCCGCGACTAGCTCGACACCTGCGGGATTGTCCCAACGGCTTGCTCCCGCGCCCAGACGGCTCGCGAGGTTGTAAAAATGGCCTGCTCCACAGGGTTGTCCCAGCGGGTTCGCGATCTGGCCATCGGAGAACGCGCCGATATGGCGATGGCGGCAACGGCACCAGACAAAATCAACCTGCGCGCCCTTGCAAGTGAGGGGCGGGGAAAGAGGCAAATGGGGGAGAAGAGGCAGGAGGACGAGGAGAAGGCATAACACGACGCGGGAAGAGGGCCTCCGCCAGGGCGAAAAAAGAGAAGGGCGATAAGGAGACGGGAAGAAAGCCCCTGCACTCACAAGGACGACCAGGAGGTCCAGATTCGTCTGGGCACTTCCCATGTGGGGCCCTATCGTCGGGAAAATGTTATCTGGGCGCCCCTGCACAGGAACAGGAACACCAACGCATCATCATCGTCCTCACCATCACTCCATCACCATCAATCATCACTACCAGCCGATACTGACCAGGCCAAAATCGGCACGTGTCGGCGGCGCGCCCGTGGGGGAAGTGAAAGAGGGCGGGCCTTCTCAGAAGACTCGGAAGACCCCCCGGCCTTCTGACAAGTTTCCTAAGCCTTCCCCGAAGACTCAGAAAACCTCTCAGAAGGCGCAGAGGCTTCTGAAAAGCCCCGCCGCCTTCTGAGAAGGCCTTCTCCTTCTCACTTCCCCCCCTTCGCTCGCCGCCGATAAACTGATGCCGACGAGGCCAGGATCGACGCAAACTCCGTCCTGGCTTCGTCGCCCGCTTCCGCCAAAGAATCCTGGCTTGGGCCAGGAGGGTATACGCACAGCTCCTGACGTCGCACTTGTTCCACGCCTGGTCCCCGGGGCCCTTGGGCCCTCGCGGGCCGACGCGGCTGGAGAGAAGGGGCCCAGGGACACACAAAGAGATAGACACACATCCGGGGGATTCCCCACATGTGTTTGCATAGCTTCTGGGTCGTCGTCTTCCCCCTCCACGTCCAACGTTCCCAGGAGGAGGAGGACGACGACGAAGAGGAGGGGGAGGACACGTGCCTGGGGATCGGCGACTCTTTGTGCCCGTGTGTATGTTCCCTCATCATGGAGAGCTGGCACGGAAAGAATAGGGTTCGGGGCCCCTGCCGTGGTGCTCCACGAATATGCCACCTCTTCGCAACGCCGGATCTCAAGGTACGGTCGAGGTTGATTGGAGATGACACGCAAGAGAACACAAGGCCCTCTCGAGGGCCACATTGCCATAGGAATGTAGAAGGCATGGGTCGCCAAACACAGGACGCAAGAGCACCCTTGAGTTGACAGGGTCAACCTATCAATCCGCCTCGACTGTACAGTCAACCCGTAGAAATTAAGGACGCACGACATGGACGAAAGAGCCTCGGAGGGACATGCCGACACTTTTCGAGCGGGGCGCGGCCAGCGAGAGAGGCCAAGGATGGGCTGGAGGGAAAAGCGGCGCGGGCAACCTTGGAGAATTGCTCGTCATTGCTATGCGGGCTGACTGTAGACCGGCCCTTGGCCCGGGACGATCCTGGCCAGGGTCTTGCAGGCCCAAAAGTGTGGGCGAAACAAAGGACGATACCCAACAACCACTGTGGTCCGAAACCGACAGCGGCCGTTGATGGGCAGGCAAGACTTCTGCCTCCAGTGGACAACGCCCGCGGTGGCAAAGACAGCCAGCCCTGCTCAGCACGGACACCCACGAGCGGCGAACATGTCCGTGTCCGCACCCTCGCGGTCTGGATTCCGGGCGCGATCCCGTGGATACGCGGTCGCACGGATACGCTCCGCGCGGGCCATCCGCGAAAAGACGCTCCGTATCCGCGGGGTCGCGGCCCAGGGGCCTGGCCCGCGAGGCCGCGGATACCGATATTACGTTCTCCCTATTCGTTCTCCCTATATTTTGTTGCCCATACCGATCGCACCACACCAAGGGTCGGCGAACGAGCAAATCTGGCGCCTCCCGGTTGGGGTGGCCGGGCGCCCTCCCAGGGCACCAGCTCCAGCTGAGGGCGGGGTCGACGCCAGGGCCGGAGTAAGGCGAGGGCAGCCTCCTGTCGGGGCACTGCGGGAACATGGACGTGTCGTCCTGGGGGGGAAGGCATGAAGATGCCTATACTGCTGATCCAAAAGAAGAGGAGGAGGAGGAGGAGGAGGAGGAGGAGAGATAAACAAGAAAAACAAACACAAGAGAACAAAGAAAAAAGTTGAAGTCCGCACGGATGTCTTGAATTGGCGCTGGACCCCACAGGCGGCGCCTCTGGCGCCGCTGCTGGCGCGCTCCGCGCGCCATGGAAGAGGGATCAGCGCCGATCCGACGCGCGGACCCGTTCAGGGTGGTGTGTCGTCATGCCGTTCTCTCCTCGAGCCACTGCCTGGACGGTCCTGGATCCCGCGGCGCGCTCTGGCCAGGACTTCGAGCCGAACGCGGCCGTGGCGGCGAGGGCCAGCCCTGGGAGGCCCCAAGAGGGCGACGGCGAGGGAGGGGTGGCGGTGTCGGTGTCTTCCCAGACATCCGTCGATCTGATGTTCTCCATGCGAGGCCTCCCAGATGGGGTCGGAGCAGATGGGGTCGGAGGTTCGCGCCGCATCGCCGATGCATCTGCGATGCGGTCCGATGTGGACTCCGACCTCCCCCGCGCCGACGTCGCCGATACTTCGGCAATGCGGCGCGATCATCCGACCTCATCTGCTCCGACCTCGTCTGTGAGGCCCAGATTACTGCGCGGGACCATCAAACAGGGCTAGACCGTTGCTGTTCGTTGTATGTTCGTTTTGTTGTTCGTTTTGCTCTACCTGCTTTCCTGTACCTCCCTCCCAAAACGAAACACAAAACGCAGCCAAAGTCCAGCGAGACAGCGTCCAGGCCCAGCCCTGCCAGGAAAGGTCCCACAACCCATCCCCCGGGGGCAGCTCTTCGCCCCAGAGATCCATTTCCTGCTGGTCGTGCAGAACCCAACGGCGGCGCCTGGAGGCCGCACCAGAGGAACCAGATCGGCGGAAATCTGTCTCTGGGCGCCGCTGAGTTGGGGGGGGCGATGCATTCGATGATCCTCAGAACGTGTGTTAACGCCAACGTGTGTTTGTCCATCGAGGCCCTTCGATACGACGCAGGCGATGTAATACTCTACCGGCTGGGGGCTAGACGAGATAAACACACATTGGGCTAACACACGTCCTGAGGATCATCGATACATGGGGGGGGAGAGAAAGGTGCACAGCTCGGGTCCGAAAGGCCTCCATTGGATCCTGCAGGGCCCCTTCGGGGGGCCCTGGAAAGACTAGTTTTCTGCAACCATCGCTGCCCCCCCGTGCATCGCCCCCCCATTACGCAACGCCCAATGTCTTTTCCTCCTCTGACGTCCGGGCCCGAGAGGGCCGGCCTGATCGGTGGCTCGACCTCGTGAAGGGCCCCGAAGTCCAGGCACCTGAAGAGCGGCTCCCTGCGAAGGGCGTCCGCGCGCAGCCGGTTGCCGCGGGGGCAGATCAGCCGCTCGAAGAGGCGCCTCAACTCGCTGGTGAGCAGCCCCTTCCGCTCCGCGCTCTTCAGGTTAGTGCGCAGGTAGTGCTCGTACCGCACGATGACGTTCTCTTTCAGCCACCTGAAAGCCGCCGGACCCTGATTCGAAAGCTCGCGGGGCGGGGGCCAGAGCGGACGGCCGTAGAGGCACTCGAAGGCCACTACGCCCAACGCCCAGAGGTCGCTGGCCGGGCTAAACGCGCCTGGGCCCTCAAAGGCCTCCGCGGCCAGGTAGGGCGGGGAGCCGCAGAGGTCTTGCTGGTCGGCATTACCGATGCAGAGGCCGAAGTCGAGCAACTTCAGGTGCCCCTCACGTGTGAGCACGATGTTGTCCGGCTTGATGTCGCGGTGGACGAAGCCGCACTGGTAAGCATGTTTCATCCGTGGCCATACATATCTACACAAACGCACATGTGTGAGTCCAGATGTACTCATGTACACATATATGTATACAGATATGCATACATCGATACATCTATATATGTATATAGATACATGTAGACCTATGCGTGTGTGTATGTATGTATGTGTGTGTGCGTGTGTTTGCATGCATGTGCGTACGCACGCACGTACGTACGTACTTAAGTAGGTAGGTAGGCAGGCAGGTAGGTAGGTAGATGTTAGGTGGGTTGGTGGGTATATAGGTATGTATGTGTGTGTGTTCTTATGTGTGTGGTTGTATGAAAGGATGGATGTATTAATGGATGGACGCATGCATACATGCGTGCATGTATGTATGCGTGTATGCATGCATGTATGTATGCATGTATGTATGCATGTACCCGTATGTATGCATGAATGTATGCATGAATGCATGGATATGTATATACGTGTATGTATGTATGCATGTATGTATGTATGTATGGATTTGTGTATGCATGCATGCATGGAGGTAGGTAAGTAGGTAGGTAGGTAGGTAGGTCGGTAGGTCGGTAGGTCGGTAGGTCGGTAGGTAGGTAGGTAGGTAGGTAGGTAGGTAGGTAGGTTGGTAGGTAGGTAGGTAGGTCTGTGCATGGGGTTGGGACTGTACAGTCAACACGGGTAGTAAGGACGGGTGGTAAGGACGGCAAGCCCTTGAAGGCCAAAGTTGGGTTTGTTGGGCGGCGGGCGACCAGAGGCAAGGACTGAAGGGTACCCTAGACGAAGGCGCGCGTTCTTCCTGGGCGCGTTCTGTCGTGTACAGGGGCGCCACGACCGCACCCTGCTGCGAGGCCGTGGTGCATGCGTGCGCTGCGGTGGCGCTGGGTGCGCACTGCGCAGGGGGGAGGGTACAGTTTGCTTTGTTCGGCGCGCGCCCGGGGGGGAAGTAAGAAGGGGCGGGCCTTCGCAGAAGGCTCGGAAGTCTCCCGGCCTTCTGAGAAGGTTTGTAAGCCTTCCCCGAGCAGGCAGATAACCTCTCAGAAGGCGCAAGGGCTTCTGCAAAACCCCGCCGCCTTCTGAGAAGGCCGTCTCCTTCTCATTCCCCCCCCCTCGCTCGCCGCCGCTCTGTGCGGGGGCATAACATGTGTTGCGGCCCCATCCACGAAAAAACAGTTTCCTTGTGCACGGTATCCAGCGCTTCCAGCAACTCCGCGGTGTAGAAGACTACCTCGTCGTGGGTGAAGCGCCCGTACTCGCCGTTGCCCGGCTCCCTCCTCTGCAGGTGGCCACGCAGGTCCCCTCCCTGGCCGAACTCCATGGCCATGAACACGTAGTCTCGGTCTTGGAAGGTCGCGAAGAGCTCAACGATCCATGTGCTCCTAGCCTCTGCAAGCACATTCCTCTCGGTGAATACGCGCTTGTTTTTCCTCTTGTGCGCCTCCTTGCTCATCTGCTTGAGGGCAAGAAGATGCTGGGACCCACGGGACTGGACCAGGTGCACTGTGCCAAACCCGCCCTCGCCGAGCACACGCAACTGCTCGAAGTCTGCCGTCGTCCACCTCCTCCTCTGTGAAATCCCTCTTCGACTCGCCGATCCATCCCCGCGCCCCTCCCACTCCTACCTCCTCCCACGTGGGGGGCGAGAAAAGAGGGGCAAGTGGAGTGGGGGAGCTCGCGGAGGCCCCCCGAGGTCCCACAGTGGCCTCCAGAGGCCCGGAGAAGGGCCAAGGATTGGCGAGCGCAGGGCAGGTCCCCGATCCTCGACCTCCGTACCATCTCGTTCTCGAAATCGTGGTGGGCCTGCACGGCCTCAAGCCGGCCCTCCTCTCCGAGCGACTGCGCGTGGCTGTCTGCGACCGCGTAGCGCTGCGCTCTCATCCTCACGTGGCTCTCGACGGCATGCTTCCTGGCCTCTGGGGAAACCAAGATGTACTCATACTGCTACTCTTAGGTCTGGCATGTCCTCCTACAGGCGGAGTTTGGACGAAAATCAAAAAGTAGCAAATGAATACACCAATCTAGAAAAACAAATCATCAAACAATCGTTCCCAGACTATGTTTTTACTAGTTCTGAATACTCCTCCTGAAGAGGGACACGCCCGATTTAACGCTACTCCCCAGACCTCTCCCAGGGTGCGTCCTGACCAGGCTCTCGAGGCGAGTCCAGCCGTGGCGGGGCCTCCCGGGAGGCCCAACAAGGCCCAGGGCAGCGGCACCGGCCTCGGCACGGGCATCGTCTCTTCCCCAACGGCCGCCCTCAGTTGGCGGCGAGCGCAGGGGGAACGTGAGAAACGGGGGCGCGCAAACATGGATGGGCGATCCCCTCGTAATTGCGGCCTGTGCCGCCTCCTTCGGCGGCGGCAATCCGCGATTTCCCATGGAAACGGGAACCGTCGCTAATCCACGCCCCCTTGATCCATGTCTGCGATCGCCTGGGAAAAGGGGCGGGCCTTCTCAGAAGGCTCGGAAGTCCCCTAGCCTTCTGAGCAGATTTCTCAGCCTTCCCCGAAGAATAACAACTTCTGAGAAGGCGCGAGGCCGTTTGAGAAGTCTCGCCTCCTTCTGAGAAGGCGTTCTCCTTTTCACTTCCCCGTTCGCTCGCCGCTGAAAAAGGCCCAGGGCAAAGGTATCGGTATCTCTTTTCCTCAGCTGAACCCCAACGGCCGCCCTGAAGTTGCTCAGCACCTCCGGCTGGGAGGCCAGGCCCGCGTCATCATCCTGCCCGATGGGAGCCGCCATGGCCGCCCCGCTGCGGGGCCGGGCTCGATCACAGCACCCGCCTCGAGCTGCGCACGGCGCAAGTCGGAGTGAGGAGGCCGAACGGACTTACACCATCCGTGGGTGCGTGGGTGAAGTGGGATTCCGTGGCGACGGCGAGTCCAGGGGGTAAGTGAAAGGAGGCGCGCCTTCTCAAAAAGCCCAGAAGTCCCCCGGCCTTCTGGGAAGTGTTCTAAGCCTTCCCCGAAGAAACAGAAAACCTCTTAGAACGCCGGAAGCCTTCTGAGGAGCCCCGCCGCCTTCTGAGAAGGCCTTTTCCTTCTCAGTTGCCCCCCTCGCTTTCAGCCGATGCTGTTGTTGAACATGAAATGCAGCCTCGAACTGATTCGCTACGATCGGCAAGCCCCAAGGCGACGACGGTCTGAGGGATGCGCCCCCAGAAACAGAAGGAATCCTGAAGGTCGGCACGGAGGCAAGGTGATGCCAAACAGAGGGATAGGGATGTGCTTCCAGCTGGCAATGGTCATTAAACCACACCGCTCCTGTGCGATACTTCTTCACGAAGTATCTTTAGAGAGCCCTGGCCAGAGATGGCCCCGACCTGAGGAAGGGCGCTCTGAGCCTGAGATGTATTCGACGAGAGCGCTCGGAGACTTCTTCGAAATTCAGCAGCACAAGTGACGAACGACACACACACACACACACACACACATACCCATGAGGGGTCGGAGGGAGGAGGGCTGGCAATTGGGCATGGGTGCCAAATGTCGGAACGCGGGGGAGCTCCCGTGCGAGCGCGGACCCCCATCCGACAACACGCACCCACAATCCCCAACATCCCCCTATGGATATGGGTGTGTAGTGCTCGCTCGTCGACAAGAGAATCCGTCAGTACAGTCGTGCCGCTAATTGCGTTGGCCCCAGGAGGCCCAAGGACGCTCCAGGGATATGTGTTCGGGGAGCGTTTTCGGCCCTCCAGTCCCCAAGAAACCCCAGGAGGCACTTCTAGATCTTGGGATATTTCGGGGGGCGCCGCTCGGCCCGCTGTTCGGCCCCTCCGCTCCCTAGAGGCCCCAGGAAGCACTTGTCTGTATTGGGATGCGTGTTCGGGGAGCGTTGTTCGGCTCCCCCGCCCCCAGGAAGCCCCAGGAAACTAAAAAAGGCCCCAAGAATCTTATGGATTGGGACACGAGCTCGGGGAAGGCCGTTCGACCACCCGCACACTTCGCCCCCTTTATACGCTTCGCCCCCATCCGTCTAGCCGCCCCTCTCCTGGGGCACGAGTCCCTCTGATTGTCACGTGTGCTCCTACATAACCGCAAACTTCGCCCCCCTTATACGCTTCGCCCCCATTCGCTTTGGCGCCCCTCTCCTGGGGCACGAATCCCTCTGATTGTCACGCATGTTCCTACAAAATTAGGAATTCGGTTGTCCCTCGGCTGGGGTTCGAATCCTTAGTGTGTGATGTGTGTTCCTGTAAGTTGCCTCTCTCCTGGGGCTCGAATGCCGTGCATGTGATGTATAGCCCCTCTCCTTCCTGGGGCTCGACGCTTTCGCGTGTCGAGTCCTCACCGCTCTCAAAAGTCGCACGCATGCTTCCCAACAACTCTGCGGCCTCGTCTGGAACAGATCACTGCGGCCTCCGCTCCTCTCTGGTCTTCCGCTCCCCTCAGCGTGCCTCTGCCTGCGCTGCCCCCTCTGGGTGGCTGCGAACTGCGCAACCGTGGCCACGTGCGTGGACTTCTAGGAGGTCGAAGGGAGTCGGGGGCCACGCGCACCCAGACGGGACCGTTCTGCCCCCTCGTGTCCTGTGTACTGCGCAACCGTCGCCACTTCAGAGAGTTCCTGGGAGGGCCAGCGCAGTGTGAGGACACGCGGACACAGCCGGGATCTCGCGGCTCCCTGGGAGGCTGCGAAATGTGTCTGTTTGAGGAACAAGTGTCGTCCTTTGTTTGTGCACGCACCACCGCACATGTACATGCACCCTCGTCCCCAGGCAAACTCGTAAATGCACCACTGGTAGTCGCACTTGGGCCTTTGTTCAAATCGCCCTTGCCCTGGCCCTTGCCCTTTCTGCCATCGATGTTGTCCGTAGCGGCCTTTCGTGCCTTATGACTCGCTCCATGTATATATACATATATAAGAGCGTCTTTATTATCCGGCGTGTCTTCGACATTGGGCGGAAGAGGTGAGGGGGGTGGTCTGGCTCTGGACCTCTGCGTAGTGCGACTGTTTGCAGCACTGCGTCCTATGAGGGGAGTCTCTACCTGCTCGAAACAGGAGCCAAAAACAGCCAAGGGCTACTCCACGGGGGAGGGGAGGGGGGGGGGCGCCGATCGGCAAAAAAAAACATTGTGTTTGATCCCCGTGCGAAGAGGCTGTGCGTGTGCAGCTTGCTGAGCATGGAATCTGGAATGATATCTTATCTTCGTTGTTCCAATAAAACAAGACGTTGCTGCCTCGAACAACTTCTGAATCAAAAAGGCGCATCGAGGCGTCGGATTGTTTTGGTTTGGGGGGAGCGTGGAGCGTCATAGTCACCACGATTGCTTCCGTCTCGAAACTCTGATTCGACGAGTCTCAGGACAGGTCTGGGGTCGTCGTCGTCGTCGTCGTCGTCGTCGTCGTGATCGTCCTCGTCATCGCCGTTCGTCGTCGTCGTCGCCGTGGTGGAAGTGGTGGAAGCTTTGGAAGCCCACAAGATGGCTCTGGAGGGTTCCAAGAGGGGCCCGAGAAACCCGCGGGAGGTGGCCTCGTTAGGGCCAAGTGTGGCCTCGAGAGGGGTCAATGGGGGCCTCGAGGGGACTCCCACTATCTCTCTTCGTCCTCCTAACTCTCCCCCCATCCAAGACGGCTCGCGAACCATCGCCTGTTCCCCTCCCCATGCATAGATGTGCATCGATTGTCGACGTCGCGCAGCATCCGAGGAATAGCTATATGGCGGTCGCACATGGGCGCTTTGCCCTGACATTATAAATTATGTTGTTTTCAACTTTCAAAGAGCGTGGTCGGTTTCGCGCCTCTCGGACAAATCCTAATTAGATTGACAGATGGTGCGTTGGACTTATTTTTCGGAAGAACGATCATCAAACATGCGATCAAAACAGAAGTCAGCGTCATTCGGGAAATTGGGATATAACCCGAAGGATAAGTCTTACAAGTTTGCGACGCATCAGCTGCTGAGATCAGTGGCACAAACTGCTTCGCGAAGGTGTACAAGGACCGCATCTGGCATATAACTTTTGTTGGCTGAGGTCGTAGCTGTTCCAATCTGATACCTGCAATCATACTTGCGCAATGTATACCTTTGGTTGCAGCCCATATACGTTTACATGTACATCCTGCAACTCACCGCTTTCCTGAATACGGGCGCAGACAGATGGGACCGGGCTCTGGTCGTGGTTGCGATGATGCAATTGTTTCGTTGCGTCGGATCTCAGAACTGACCTGGTGCCAGGGCGCTGAGGGCGACTCGTGACTACGTTCGCGCCCCTGGCGGTGACCTTCGCGTCCCTGGGGGCGACCTCTGATTGTAATTCTCTCAGCGCCCCTCGAGATGACCTTCGAAGGGTCATCATGGGCCATGGCATAGTCGGCGCTTCGACATTGGGCGGAAGGTGGTGGGAAGGGGGGGGGGTCTGGCTCTGGACCTCTGCTTTAATGCGTCTGTTTGCACCAGCGCGCCCCATGGGGGAGGCCCCACTTGCCTGAAACAGGCGACAAAAACAGCCAAGATCTACTCCATGAGGGAGGGGGGAGGGGGGGGTGCGAGGGCTCGCGCCGATCGGCAAAACAATGGATGAGAACACGATCACAAGGCCAGAAGAGGCCTGTGCACCGTTCTAAACCTGTGGATGGTCGAGGGGCCGCAGAGGCCCCAGACGGCTCGAGGATCGGCAGAGGTATGCCCGGGACCGAAGTAGGCGCCCCGAAGGGAAGGGCGCAGGCTCCGAAGGTCGGTAGAGCCCGGTAGTAGAGCCCTTCTAAGCGGGATCCGACTGCTTTGGATCGGTTTTCTGTTTATCAAAGGGGGGGCGAGTAGCCTTCTGATTGAGCCTGCCCAATCCCGCCCTCCTCCATCCTCCTCCCCCTCCTCATCTTCCTCCTCTTCCTCAACATCGCGCTTGATGGCCGATGCATCGGCGACGCAGCACGATCCTCCGACCACAGCGGTTCAGAGCAGAGTTGGGAACCCTGGATTCAAAGGTCGAGGCTTCAGACGCAATGGCTGTGATCTCGTCGAGCTTCCGGTCAACTTGCAACCCGAGAGAGAAGGGGGGGCGATGATTGAGTGACGGGTGCGAGCTGCAGGAGTTGCCATAGAGGAGGCGGAAGGGAACTAGACGGAGGAGGAGGAGGAGGAGGCCGGAGGAGAAGGAGGAGAAGGAGACTAGGAGGAGGAGGAGGATGGGGAGGAGGAAGGGCAATAGGAGGGGGAGGAGGAGGGGGAGGAAGAGAGGAAGGAGGAAGAGCTTCAAGGTCCTGACGGAATAAGGGGTCGCAAATCCAATGGAACCTCCCCCAAGACCAGGTCATCATCCTGAGTCAGTTTTTGACGGCCCCGGGCCCGTCAAGGGCCGAGGAACAAGAGAACTACCAAACAAACAATACAAGACGCGCTTCCTTCAAGAACACGGCAGCCCCAGACATCCTCCGAGATGATACTGTCCATGCGCAGCCCCAGGAGCTCCCGACCCCTTCTCAAGGGATGGTTTGTCGCCCAAAATCCACTTTCGATGGCCCCGAGACCCGAAAACCAGGCCCCAAGGGCTGAAATTTATAAAACGCACAAAAACGGAATCATCTCGGCCCAAAAAAAGAACCCCATTAGCAGCAAACGTGACAAAGGGAAATGCAAACACAATAACCAGACACTTCTCGGAGCGCTTCGCAGATCTCTTGAATCGTCACTGGGCGTTGGGACCTCTTCCTTGTAGCGCGGACCGCGCCCGGAGCGGCACCAGAGGCGACGCCTGGGGGACTCTGGCGCCGATCCAAGAAATCCGCGCGAACCTGCGACAGTGTATGATTGTGATGTTTCTTCTTTCAGCACGACGAAGCCGACGACGA